TCATAACCAAAAAGGGAAGAAGGTGATATATGATGAAATAATGACTGGGTATTTTCCAAATGCATAAATGACATCAACTTATAAACTCAGGAAAGTCTACATGGGATTAATAAAATAAACACTAAAAATAAAGACAGATTATAATAAAGATGTAAGAGAAAAATCTCAGGGAGAAAAATCTCACAAGTTGTTTCCAGAACTCAAGCCATAAACTATGAAAAGGGACTTCAATTAGTAACCACTGTTTCCTCTCATTATTGAGAAAAACCTGACACAGGTGGCATGGGCATTAGAAGAACATGTTTAAATCACTGTAGAAGTGAAAACAGCAGGGAGGGTGGGCAGTACTTAATCCTGGCATCGGGAAGCAGGGCAAGCGGATGGATCTCTGAGTTTGAAGCCAGCCTGGTCTTCAGAGCAAGTTCCAGACGAGCCAGAAGGGAAATCCTATCAAAACCAACCAACCAAACAAACAAACACAAAAACAAACAAAAAGCACAAGAGAGGAGACAGAGAAACATGAGACTTAAAAGTCAGATGAATTGAGTCAGGGGCTAGAGAGAAAGCTCAGTGGTTAGTCACTTTTTGCTCTTGCACAGAACCTAGGTTGACTTCCTGACATGGACATAGTGGTTCATAACCACCCGTAACTTCAGTTCCAGGGGATCTGCTGCCGTCTTCTGACATCTACATGGTATAGGACAACAAACGCATATGTGGTACACATAAACACAGGCAAAACACTATATGTGAAGAGTAAGATAAATAAATCTAATTTTAGGAAAACAACTTTATATTTAAAAAAGAAAAAGACCAGCCATTTTTATATTTTCAGAGTCGGACACTTGAGTCTAACTACCTTATAGATATTTGGGACAGAAAAACAGAAACAAAAGCCACACAGGATGGCAGTCTACAGGTGTCCAGTGCTACCACCATCAGAGGCCACATCTGTCTTCACAGTCAACATGAGGAAGGGGCAGGCCCAGGATGGGACTGCTCCTTGGTAAGTTATGCGGTTTCCTGCAGGTTATGTTACCCACAACGGCATTTTGAAGTGTTCTGTGTCGCTGTGGTTTGGGGACAGTATAGGAAGATAAATACAGGGTGTCTCAGTCAGTGTTTCATTGTTCTAAAGAGACACAATGACCACAGTTCTAAACAACAACAAAAAATAGCATTTAATTGTGGCTTGCTTACAGTTTCAGGTTTAACCAGTTGTCATCAGGTCAGAGAGCACCAGAGAGGGAGCTGAGAGTTCTACATCTAGATCTGAGGGTGGCAGGATCCGAGGGAGACTCTGGGCTTGGAATGAACTTCTTGAAACCTCAAAGCCCATCCCCACTGACTACTTTCTCTAACATGGTCACTCCTCCTAATCCTTTCAAATAATGCTACACCCTGGTGACCAAGTATTCAATCTATGAGCCTATGGGGGACCATACTCTTTCAATCCACCATACAGTGCCTTCACTATTTAGGACACACTGTAATAGCACCTCCTGCTTTATGACAGAGGGGCTACCATAGCGAATTTCAGAAAAGAGAGAACCCAGAAACACTATAGGGCCCCTTGGTGATCAATCAATGATGTCTTTGGAAACCAATAGGAATCAAAATAAGACCTCAGATAGGAAACAAAGAACAGCCTCCCAGATTAGATCTTGTGGGAAGTTAAGTGTGGCGTGAGCTGACCAGGTCCAAGAGTAAGCCAGATGGACCGTAAACCACAGCAAGCATATAGCAAATAAAGGACGGTAGACTGGAAGACCCCACCCGGAAGACCAGAAGACATCGGGAAGCTATGCAAAAGTACTTCCTGGAGTTCAAGAACTGGTATAAATGGGGTGAAGATGGGCAGGAAGTTAACAAAGGTGGCCTACAGAAGAGTTTGCAAAAGCATGTTGACAAAAAAGACCCCTCAGGAGATCCATTTTGCCCCTAACCACAGTTTATTTCTTTAAAAATTAGAAATTAATTAGAAATTAGGTAATAGAGAGATTGCTCAGTGGTTAACAGCACTGGCTGCTTTTCCAGAGGATCCAGGTTCAGTTCCAGAACCCAAATGATGACTCACAAGTGTCTGGAACTCCTGGGACCCTAACACCCTCTATAGCTTCCTGGGGTACCAGGCATGGTGTGTTGCATGGGCATACATTCAGGGAAGTGGTCACTTTGACTCAGTAACTCAACCTTTGTTTCCTTTAGACACTAACTAGTGGCATTAAGCAAAATGAATTATATGGCCACTGGTTTTACAGCTGGTTGGTGAAAGTCAACTGTGGTACTGACATAAATGTCCATCAAAGAAGACTGGTTTAAAACTCATGGTAAGGACTGGCAACATGGCTCAGTTAATAAATGAGCTAGTAACCAAGGCAGATGACGTCAGTTGAATCTCTAGAAACCACAAGGTAGAATGAAAGAACCAATTCTTGTTTATTGTCCCATGACTCTGTGACACATGCACAAATAAGTTAACATAAATTATGAATTTTCCGGTTCATACACCAGTCCCTGAATAGTAGATACTTGGTAAAAAAGAATAAAATAAATGTACATGCATTATGGTGAAGACGTCGATAAGGTTCCTATTTATTATATAATCTAAGGCTCAAAACACAGAACAGTATTATAAAATGAAAATATACATTACATACTTATGAAAACAAGTTATGCACAGAAAAGCATAGGAAAAGATAAAGAGGCAGGAGGGATAGGTCAGAAATTAAGAGCACTAGCTGCTCATCCAAAGGACAGGAGTTCAGCTCCCAGCACCCATGTCTGGCAGCTGTCATACAAGTGTCATAACCATACATAACACCAACTACAGGAGATCAGACAGCCTCTCCTGGCCTCCAAAGGCACCTGACTTAATGACTCTCTGTCTGTCACTGTCCCTGTCTCTGTCTCTCTTCCTGTGTCTTTGTCTCACTGTCAGTCTCTGTCTCTCTCCCACACACATGCACATACGCACCAAGGCACACACAAACACTAGCACTCATGTGCCTGTGCATGCACACACACACACACACACACACACACACACACACACACACACACACACACTTTATTCTACATAGGATTTCTCTGTGTAGCACTGGCTGTCCTAGAACTTATTCAGTAGACCAGGATGGCCTCAGAATCAGAGATCTGCCTAACTCTGCCTCCCATATGCTAGGATTAAAATACTGTGCTACAATATCCATATCAAACATATACATATTTCTAAAACTTAATGAATAGAAATACATTCTTATGTGTATAAGGGAAGGATGCCTTAACTTTCCTCTGCATGCTCCTAGAGCCTGTAGACAGGAAAAGAAATGAGACAGAGACAGAGAGAGAGAGACAGAGACAGAAAGAGAGAGACAGAGACAGAGACAGACAGACAGAGAGACAGAGACAGAGACAGACAGAGAGACAGAGACAGACAGACAGAGAGAGACAGAGACAGAGACAGACAGACAGAGAGACAAAGACAGAGACAGACAGAGACAGAGACAGAGACAGACAGAGAAAGAGACAGGGACAGACAGAGACAGACAGACAGAGAGACAGAGGAGACAGAGACAGAGAGAGATACAGAGACAGAGAGAGACAGAGACAGAAAGACACACAGAGACAGAGACAGACACACAGAGAGACAGAGACAGACAGACACACAGAGAGAGAGAGAGAGAGAGAGAGAGAGAGAGAGAGAGAGAGAGAGAGAGAGAGGGAAAATCCAGGCATCATGGTGCACACCTTTAATCCATTACTGGGGAGGCAGAAGCAGGTGGATCTCTGTTGTGAGTCCCAGGCTAGCCTGCTCTACATAACGAGTTTCAGGACAGCCTAGACTACATTAAAAAAAAAAAAAGAATAAGAGAGCCTGCCTAGTATATGTATATGAAGGCTGAACCCAAACTAGGAGCTGTGGGAGTGTGTATGGGGGAGAGTCAAAGAGGTTTTACCCTTTATGTATTTCCACAAGGTGTGACAGCTTATAAACTACATTCTAATATGAAACCAGCTTGGTGGTGCAGGCCAGTCATTCAGAAGATCAAAGCAACAGGATCAAAAGTTCAAGGTCAGCCTGAGATACTTAGCAAACCTTGATTTTAAAATACATAGAGACATATAATCAAGCATAATCAAGGCCCTGGGTTCAACTACAGTACTGGATAATAATGTCTGACTTCCTTTGCAGTGAAGGACACACTGACTTTATTATTTCTGGGTAGCACATCTGAATCACTACGGCTGGAGCAACAGAGGTCTACCATCTCCTTGTCAGAGCTGACATGGGCCTAGAACAGGACACTAAAGTGAAAATAAAATCCTGCAGCTTGCCCTGACCTTTGCTACCAAGGGCCATTCCTCCCTCAGATCAGGAAATGAGAGTGGGAGCTCAGAGCAGGAGTGAGCCTGGGCACAGCTTCCTAGGTGACAAGTCCTGCCTGACAGGTAGGAGACCATGATCGGCAGGGGCAGCTGTTTACCCTGAGCCTCTGCTGTTTGATCTTCTTCCCTGAGGTGACTTAGTGAAAGCAGAGAGAGCAGAGGGGCTGACAATACCCAGGGTTCATGAGAAAACAACAGAACCAAGTCACAGAGGTCCCCAGGAGTCCCTGACAGCTGTGACCAGAGTCTCCTTCTGACAGCTGACAGTGGTGACAATTAAGAAAGTTGTGACTGTGTGTATAATGGCAAGCTGGCCTTGCCCGCAGGTATCTTACTGAGATTTAAAAATGACAGATGTTCTCTGTCTGTCTGTCTGTGTTCTCTGCCTCTCTGTCTCTCTCTGTGTGTCTGTCTCTGTCTCTCTCTGTCACTCTTTGACTCTCTCTCTCTCTCTCTCTCTCTCTCTCTCTCTCTCTCTCTCTCTCTCTCTCTCATCTCTCCTCTCTAACTACAGTTCAGAGCTTCCTCATATCCAAGGGTTTGCCTGACTGAACTCAAGACATGAAATCACCCATGTTGTCAGAGGGCAAAGTTACAGAGGGAGAGAGACCCACCTGGTGCTGAAGCTGCTATTTTCCCTCTTCCAACTCTTGCCAGGGCCTGGGAGGGAGAGCTCTGATCCTGGGTCTCCTCACAGGCTTCCAGACTGAGTGCTCTGGCCCACAGCTGAGAGCAGGAAGTCAGCCTGAGCACCAACTCAGCAGGGAGGGCTCCGCCCTGATGAGGAAAAGAAAACGAAAGTATTTCTTTAATTTCAAGTGTACTGCTATGAGATACTGTCCTTCCTTTCCTTCTTTCCCGAAATGTGTTGGCAAGGAGGAGAAAAGGGGACCTAGTGGATTGCAAGGGGCACACCAATGACAAGCATGGGCACTTCCTGGGAGTGCCTTACCTTTGCAAAGACACAAAAGAAAACCCCAAAGCAACAGCAACAAAAATCCCTCCCATTAAACCCAAACTATTCTCAGGTACCTCTGTGTGTAGGGGAGCAGAGTACACCCAGGGTTGCCTCAATCCTTTTTTTTTTTTTTTTTTTTTTTTTTTTGTCTTGTCCCTGGCTGAGGTGGTTTGGGTGGAGGAGAGACGGGGAGGAAGGAGCAAAAGCTTTGAAGCTATCTCTCAGGCTAGCAGGAGAACCCAGAGCTGGACCCTGACCAAGAGAAGCTTTCCCTCAGACCTGAAGAGAAGTGCAGTTGTGAGGGAGATGCCCCAGCTTGAAAGACACCTGGGGAGAGCATTGTCTCTGAGGAGTTCCCATCCCAGCCTAGAACTCCTCTGAGGGTGGAGGAAGCTGCCACAGTGGCCACCAGGGAGGAAGAACTTGTCCACCTCCTGAGATGTGGGCCTGAGAGAGATGGGCAGACACCTGCAGGGAGTCCTTCTAGGAAGCCCCCAGGGTCATGAGGACACATGAGCTCCCTCTCTCTCCTCCTTCTGGGAAGACTTTCTCTCAGGAGCTTGGAGGACTGGGTGAGCCTGCACCCTGTCAGGTCTCCCAGCGGGCTTCTTGCCTGCACAGACCATGGCTCTATTCTCATCGCTTGGCTCAAATGCACAGGGACAGGCTGGCGTGGGGCTGGAGTGGGCATGGCTGGCAGCAGAGCCTGAGGCCAGGCCTGGGGTTAGAGTTCAGGGCGCCTTTCATGGACTCACGTCTTAGCCAATTCTACTTCTACCAGGAATAGAGCATTCTGACATGATTTTATGTTTTAAAGGATGTGTATGTTTCTGTATGGGTATGTGCACATGAGTGCAGTGGCTGATGATACCAGAAGACAGTGCGGGATCCCTGGAGCTGGAGTTGGAGGCAGTTGTGAGTTGCCAGATGTGGGTGCTGGGAAGCAGACCCAGGTCCTCTGTAAGAGCAGAATGCACTCAACTGCTGAGCCATCCCTAGCCCCAGATGGTATTTGGATCCCCATCCCGTCTCTTCATTTCTCCTGTCTGTCAGATGGTTTAGAACCAAGGCTTGATTGAGTTGGGGCTCTGAGTCCCTAACCCTGTTTAAGCCTAAACCTGTCTCTTTTTTCATGTTCCTTCTACCTGTGAACCAGGTGAGTGCAGAGGCAGGAAGCCCTTGCAATTCTATGATTATGGTGCAATTACCCCCAGGCCTGGTGGAGTTTGGGTAGCAACATTTGTACTCTTAGAGACTGTGCTGAGACTGGGCTAATACACTTAACAGCCAGACATACCTCTGCCTAAACCTCACAGAGTAAGGTAACAGGTGTGAAGCTTTGAATGCCACAGTCTTCGAACTTTGTGAGATGCTGGGGAGATAGGAGAGGAAACATGAGTATTTCTATTGGGAGTGTGAACCAGAAGAGATTTCTAGGCAGACAAGAAGAGGTCAAGGACAAGGGCACACAGGAGGTCCACCTGGCCATCTCCTGAAATCTGAGGACTATCCCTGAGAAACACCTTTGAAGATGCCCAGGGTCCTGATGATGCTCAGAGAAGGCAGGATGCTGGTCCAGGGACTCATGTCCGGGGAGTCCCTTCCTCTAGTCTGCATCATCACCATAGCCCTTCAGTTTAGCTTTTGTGTCGTCAAGTGGACAAGGACAGAGAGTCCAGCTGGGAGACCCAGAGAGTCTGTGCCCATTGATGTCACACATGCCTTTCCTCCACAGTCCCCTACCACTGAGATGGCCATGTGGACACCACACAGCGAGGAAAGACCTGTAGACTTTCCTCCTCCTCTTCTCCTTGTTTTGTTATTATTATTATTTGTCTTTTATTTTATATGCATTGGTATTTTGCCAGCATTTATCCCTCTGTGAGAGTGTCAAATCCACTGAAAGAGGTGTTACAGTCAGTTATGAACTGCCATGTATGTCCTGGTTATTGAACCCTGGGCCTCTGGAAGAGATGTTATTGTTCCTACTCTTTCTGGCCAGAGTAAGCACCAGCTAGATCTACACTACCTCCTAGTGGTTGTTACAAGTAGTAGTCTCCTTCGACCTGGATTCTACTTCCATTGAAGGGAACCAAAAATCCTTTTCTAGATCTGTGGAAACACTTGGGACTGTGGTAGAAGTTCTGAGGTCTAATGTCACGTCTGCTGCGCGGCCTGTGTCCGAGAACGTGCGGAGGGTGTCGGGTATTGAAAACACAGAGACTCGTTCAATGATATAAAGAGAACTTTAAACAGGCTCCAAAAAGGTTCAAGAAAAACTTCCTAAGAAAGGCTCCCACCAGAGAAGCTTCTGCTCTCTCCTCTACCCTGGCTGGTTCTGCTCTGACACCAGAGGTGGATGTGTGTGGGTTTTTGAAGGTGTGGTTAGTCTTTGGACAAGGTCGAGGTCAGGGCGGTTTCTGTGGGAAGGCCTTTCCCAGGAACTTATTGTATCATTTTTAGTAAACATGTTTTTACTAAACATTGTCTTATAGCTGCCTACTCCCAGGCAGAAGGGGAAGTGGGTCTCTGCTCAAGGTCTGGTGTTCCCACAATTCACCCCTTTTTATTTTCAAATGAGGCACTCCTGGCTTAGGTCAAGTAGGGTCACCCTCCCTTTCCCGTCTTTGGGGGACCTTGAACCCCTGTTTTAGGTGGGAGGGTGTCCCGCGCTCTATCTCGCCCGCAAGAATGACGCGGCACACGATCAGGATCCTTCTGCAGTAAGCTTTATTGCTCCTGAGAGGAGGAGCATAAGCTATCACAAAGCAAAGACCCCACGCCCTAACGGGACTCTCCTTATATAGAGAGTTTCTCTCGCCTCGGACGTGGCAGTTAATTACTGGTCCAATTATGTCACCCGAGGTGACGTAAGGCACAGGCACCCCCGGCCTCGTGGGCAGGGAGCTCCTGCTCATGCGCAGCAGGGTTGTCATTGCAACTGTCAGGCGGATGTCAGCGCCATCTCGCCATGGCGTGGTTCCAGGGCAGCGCCCAACAGGAGGGGTCTTCCCCACAGGTTGCCCGTCATCGGAGATACCCCAACCTTAAATCATCTGTAACCAACCTTCATGGCTATCGGGATTGCCATGGGCTAAGCTAAGCAATACTTGGTTACGGATCTCTTGTCTCTGGAACAAGGCACGTTTGAGCTCGGCATAAAGCCAGAATGCCTACCGCCACTGCCACCATTTCCAGGACCCCCATTGACATAGCGCCTCTCCATCACCGTACCCATCACCAGATCTGGGCCATAACATTCTACCAGCCTTCATCTGTTACAAGGGTAACCCGCATGTGATTTACATTCTGTTACAAGGGTAACCCGCATGTGATTTACATTTACAATTTGATAAAGTTTCCAATTGTTTTAAGATCTGCTCAGGAAAGCATTTAGAAAGTGCACTTGCACAGATACATTAGGTACAATCATTGATGTTACACATGTAGCATTACGAAAAATATGAACAATAGTTGTCGCATTAGGACAAGTTGCATTTCTCCAGAAAAATACACTGGCCTAGTCGTGATTCCAGAAACAGGAACCATCAAGTGACCATGTCCTGTTCAAATACTGAAAAGAGGCTTTTGCCACTCATCATAGTCCATACCAATGTCCAAATATTTTAAATGGGTCCTTTTTTCTCTGTTGGCTTTACGATGAAAACTCATGGGTCCGGAAGGTTGATGCAGCAGGTCTGTTGAGAAACTGGAAATCTCAAACTGACTGTTTTCTTTCTTTCTTGGGCTGTAGATTCGATGACATCAAGGGTCAGGAACACTGATTTAGGAGATCTCACTCAAACTGGCTTAGGTAGGCTCCCATGGTCTCAGGTCCAGTTTTTCTCTGCTCCATGCATCTCACTAAATGGTCTGACAGTTGCCGAAGCTTTATTCTTTTCCTGCAAGAAAACACAAACATGCCCTCGACCCCAAATTAGGGTCTTCTCCACTGTCTAGTGTATGGATGTCTCCATTTGACCTGAGCAATGGTTGCTCAAGTTCCATCATGCCAGAATCTGTCCGAAGCTCACTGGCATCCACATTATAAAATTTTTAAATGAGGAGTGTATTATTTGATGAGTCATGTGGGGACTGGGGGCATTATTCCCCCTTTTTTATTTTCTAAAAAAGTTTTCTTTTTTGAACTGTTGAAGCTGGACCATAACAGTAGAAGGATTTGTCTACCCTCCTTGGTTAACTATCTAGGTAAATTGGGCTTACTAAATAACTTTTGAAAATTATTTGAAGTCTGTGAGCAGTCTTTCCCAATCTAACCTGTAGAACTCTCACTAGCTGACAAGGCCTCATTTGCATCTTAAATTTTTTTTGTTAAAACATTAACAGACTGGCTGGATGTTCCTTTTGGCTATATTTAAAGTAATCTAGGTAGCTTCTTAACTATTTTTGAAGGGATTTAAGTATCCTTTTAATCATATTAGCAGTTTACACTCACACATTCACAATCACATTTCATACATACCGGTGTGGCCACACCATACATTCAGAACATACATGCATCTTTCAGTCATCCTTTTTGCCTAGGTCATGATTAGTCTGTTGCAATGAAGCTTCCTTAATTGAAATCTATGTAAAAGAACAACTCCAGCCAATCCTTGAACTAAAAGGGTTAAAAAGTCCTGTATGTTCTTTATCATTCCTCCATTTGAGCTATAGTCATGTGGTACAGCTGTACCTACTCCTTGTAACTCTGTAGATGCAAGGTGGAGAGGCCAGGCTTTTGGCCAAAAGTTTTTAGAGATGACTCACAAAGTAGAATTTAAATGTAAACAAAATTTTTTATTCCATGTA